ACAGAAAACGAGTGACGCATTGTCCAACCTTTAGAATGTTCTATTTTAACTCGCTTAAGGTTTTTGTTATTTATTAATTTCAGGCAAAAACTTTGTATTAACCTTAGTTTTATTTCACCGAATAGGTTTGATTTGCCCCTGTGTAATAAGACAAAAGTTTCACATGCATTTGTTTTGCTATAAATGAATGCACGCTAGAATATATAGTTCTTATATGAAACAGTATTTCAAAACCTTGTCGACATTTTCGATAGCGTCGTTGTCTAAGCAAAGGATTAATTATGATTATTTTGGATCTTGATTTGTCCCGATGATAAGAATGTTACAGTCACTTTATGATATTCACCATAGCGTCTTATTAATTCGTTTATTCGTCAAATGATTAATTTATTACCTGAAAAAGCTATGTTTTGTCTGAACTTCTAACAGGTGTTATTGTGCTCTCAAATAATTTTTGACATAGATGTAAGTAATGTTAAAATTACGTTAAGTTTTATAACGTAGATGAATTACAGAAAATCTATGAAATCAAATTCCAAGATGATATTGGGAAATAATTTTCAGAAGTGAACATTGTATTATATTTGAAGTTACAAGCAAAAGTGACGTTTTATTACATTCGGTCCATTAAAAAAGTCTGGTTGGAAAAATGTTTAACAGAAGCATCATAGAACATTGAAATATGCAGTTTTGCTTGCGGTACATACGACACTATGTGACTTGGTATCTAATTAAAAGCGAAGCTAGCCGACCAAAGGTGGTCCCTAGTCGCCACGGCGGCCATCTTGTTTCCCCTTCCAGATTGTTTGACTGGATAGCGTTACTGTAACAGACACTTTGTTTACAAACTAGTTTCAAGCCAGTTTTCCCCTTTCCACAAAGTAGACCGAGGAAAGTAACTTTTTACACGTTTAAAGCTTATATGACACACTTATACTGCAGGCGGGCAAACTTATAGATCGTGTATCCGCCGTTACAGCTAAAACCTCAACAGAACGTAAAGCAACACATGCAGTTATACAGACAGACCTGGAGATGTGTATTCCTGAGGGACATTCCTGTCGCAGACTTGCTCCTACACGGAGAACTGTTCACAGACGTCCAGAGCGATCCCGAGAGAGGTTTCAACTAGCTTCCAGGACAAAGATAGGGGACAGATTTTCCTACGGACATTAGAGACATTAGGCCCCCACCCCGCACACACCACACCTCTACCCTGTAGTTTGGGTAATTTTCAGAAAAGCCAATTTTCTACATCTCGCTCTCTCTCCGACTGCGACCGACTCACTCACTCCCCCCATTATTTCTGTAATTCTAGTCTATTTGAGACGGCCTGTTCACATGAGTGCACGATGCGCCGCCACAGTTCCCCCTTACCCCTGACTACCCATTATATTCACATTCCCTATGTGTATTTTACCTTACTTAATGACATTTTGTATTATTGTTAATTTGATATGTTATACAATTTGAAATATATACATTTATCCGGTTAAAGTGTTTTATTTCAACCTAATATCTGCTAGGACTATGCCGTTGGCAATATTTCTATTGCTTTTATGACAAATTTTCTAATAGGGGAAACACTATTACCGTAGGTCTCATGCATGGTCAGACCTAGCCACGGGACAGATTTACTTTTTCGTATTGAGGTCCCATGAGGCCAAAAACACCGTATGTTCACATTCATATTAACAGGGTGTTTTTTTCTTTTTTTACGAAAAACAATTTAAAAGTGCTGCGAGACATATTTTAATGCCAAAACAAGCTTATATGTTAGTATTCCTACTTTATTTTACTACCTGTAAATATTTAACTACATTGCATATCAGCTGATATGCATTGTTGCAGAGTTCTAAACCTTATCAAGTTTAGTGTAGTTGGGAATTTATTGTAAATAAGATACAACATGGTATTTACACTCATATAGAGTATCTGTTTTAGGTCTAAGTTTTTTTCCTTAAATTTATGCATGTCAATAATAGTTTATTTATTAAGTTGTAGAATTACACCTGGAAACGTAATTTAATATTTTTCTTTGCATAATACCAACGATTTAATTTAAAATACTCTTCTAACTCTTTGAGCTTGGGAAAACACCAGGTTGAGTCTTATTTACAATACATTTCCAATTACACTAAACCTCTTAGATAACTGTACAACTATGCATATCAGCTTATCATCAATAAAGTAAAGACAGAAGGGATACTAACGTATAAGATTGTTTTGTCATTAACTTCCCACTAAAAGAAGGGAAAATCTGTGACAGATCATATTTTTCTGTATTATTATAATAATCTATCCCTACGGTAGTTCTCGGAAGAGATTTATGACCTAACACTACAAACCACAGACGGACTTCTTAAACTATGTATGAGGAATCGACGAGGAAGATCATCAGTATAAATTTGACAAATGAGGGACGGGGCAGACAACGATCCCAAGTGCTTTGCTTAGTAACGTGCTTGCACCTACTAGAGGTAAGGTTACAGTAGTACGAGTAAAAGATTATTAATTTCCATAAAATACCCTCCTACTTACCTCATATGCGACTGTGATACAACAAAGGCAACTGACGACAAGGTCCAGGAACTTATTCACCCAGGCAACTAAGATAGAAATTAGAATGATAGTATGATAGTATTAAATATATAATTTACTTCAGCATGTGATAACACATGCTACATTGTTACAAATCACTAGTGGCAATATAAGAAAGAGAGGCCACTTGGGGCATTTTAGAGGCTATACGGGGGCATTTTTTCCACGAGAAAACTGGAGGATCAATTTTAAGCCACCTTTTTACCCCTGATCTTGGCCTATACATCTCTATTCAAATGTTCTATACTAGTGTCCAACTCCATAAAATATTTCCAATCCCCATCCATCCCCATGTATATAAAAAAATGTGTTTAAATGTTTTTTTCAAGTGCTGTTAACGGCACATTCGTTGGGCCGTATGTTAACGTTTAAATTTGGGCATCAATAAAATAAATTGTTAAAATGCATTTAAATACTAATCATATTTTTCTTATGAGGGACCTAGCTTCTTAACATTAAGCGTTCAAATTTTTCCACCCGATTATCTTTCGGCACTTTATATGCAACATCATATTAGGGCTTTCATTGTCTAAAATATAAACATAAAATATTAACATTTTCACCGGTAATTTTAACTTTCGATCAAATTCAGTATATTACAAATTATTCTATGCCATATTTGTTGCCAAAGTATTCAAAATGCTCAACACAGAATGCTTTCTCCCAAGTAATTCTTTTAAAAACTTAAATATGTAGATCTATAATTATAGACATTTTATTTAGAAACATTTCTTAATTGGATTCTGGTCTTTATCTGCCAAAATTAAAAACTATTTCTCTCTCATAGCATCGCACTCATTATGCCAATCGTTGTTTATATTAGGCGAGGGTCTAAGTGTACATTTCATTTTGTCATGAACCTGGGGAACAGCTGATTACCACCGAAGTGTCGATATTCTACGTGATCTCCGTCCCTCAAGGCCGCGATAGGCGTTGCTGTTGCTTCATGAGATTGTTGTTCTTTTACAATTACAGGTTAGATGCAAGCAGATGTGAAATCATCTGTCAGTGTAGACGAATAGGCAGTGGATGGTCCTCACGCACATAACATTCTCACAATACATGTACAGGACAACTTGGCAAGGAGGTGGCTCTTCAACTCTAGGGCTGGGGGATCATTGTTTTCCTGGTACTAGCCTCGCATCGATAGTTCGTCGATGGATTTCAACTCATTGTGCTTTTAAAAGAGAACTGAATCATATTTGCCCGGTGAAATGCATAACCGAGACAGAATGTGTTCCTTTTAAGAGTTTACAAAGGTTACAAATGAATGTCCAATATTTAAATATGTGTGATCAATCATGATGTATGCATACTACACTGATTTCATGTAAACGAAAGCTGTGACTGTTATCGTACTTCACACTATCGTCACATACAAATGAATGACCAATAGAAGATGTAAACTTCGAGGTATCTTGATTAGAAATGTTGCTGAAGACGTATTCTAGTAACAAGTAACAATTTTACAGCGCTATGATAATTTTAGATTAGACATCACGATTTTAAACAAAACACGATAAACATTACACACATATAAAATCAATCTCCTCGATAAAGATATAATGGTTTACTTATGAATCTACCTAACTTTTCTTATTTTATTAAACTTCCCTTACTTTAATAAACGAGGTATTTGAAATATACTTTGGGAAGAGCCCTTAACTGGCCCCTAACTCTGAATAAACGTATATTCATTAAAGAAAAAAGATCTACAAATTAGTGTTATTCTTTTGCTGACATGAAAAAAAACCAATGTAATTTTACGGCTTTGAAGTTAAGTTACACAAGAAGCTCTTATTTTGGAGATAATACTTTTACGATGAAATGAAATGAAATGAATGAAATGAAATGAAAATCCTTCTTTATTGAGGCGAACTTAGGACCTCACGGTCCTTTCTTACAGTTAACCGATAGTGATATTTAATAAAAATTTTAATGACATTTTTTAGTTAATTGTTGTCTATGGTGGGTTAATATTACAGTTTTCAAAGGTTTATTGTAGACATGTTCAGTCAATATGGTAAAATAGAATACACAAAATAATAATAATAATAATAATAATAATAACATACATATCATTTGGGCTCAGATTTCAGATCCCAAAACGATATTTATTTTATTTTATTTCCGTGATGAAAGTAAAATAGGTGCTAAATGTTAGGCACGACCCCGGATTTGTTTTTATCTTGGACACTAGGAACAAGCCCGGGATTGTTTCGACCTATGACGCTAGGCAGGGCACGGGCCCGGGATTGTTTTGTCTCAAGACGCTAGGCTCGAGTCCTGGATTGTTTTGTCTTAGGACGCTAGGCTCGAGACTCGAGTCCTGGATTGTTTTGTCTTAGGACGCTAGGCTCGAGTCCTGGATTGTTTTGTCTTAGGACGCTAGGCTCGAGTCATGGATTGTTTTGTCTTAGGACGCTAGGCTCGAGTCCTGGATTGTTTTGTCTTAGGACGCTAGGCTCGAGTCCTGGATTGTTTTGTCTTAGGACGCTAGGCTCGAGTCCTGGATTGTTTTGTCTTAGGACGCTAGGCTCGAGTCCTGGATTGTTTTGTCTTAGGACGCTAGGCTCGAGTTCTGGATTGTTTTGTCTTAGGACGCTAGGCTCGAGTTCTGGATTGTTTTGTCTTAGGACGCTAGGCTCGAGTCCTGCATTGTTTTGTCTTAGGACGCTAGGCTCGAGTTCTGGATTGTTTTGTCTTAGGACGCTAGGCTCGAGTCCTGGATTGTTTTGTCTTAGGACGCTAGGCTCGAGTTCTGGATTGTTTTGTCTTAGGACGCTAGGCTCGAGTCCTGGATTGTTTTGTCTTAGGACGCTAGGCTCGAGTCCTGGATTGTTTTGTCTTAGGACGCTAGGCTCGAGTTCTGGATTGTTTTGTCTCAAGACGCTAGGCTCGAGTCCTGGATTGTTTTGTCTTAGGACGCTAGGCTCGAGTCCTGGATTGTTTTGTCTTAGGACGCTAGGCTCGAGTTCTGGATTGTTTTGTCTTAGGACGCTAGGCTCGAGTCCTGGATTGTTTTGTCTTAGGACGCTAGGCTCGAGTTCTGGATTGTTTTGTCTTAGGACGCTAGGCTCGAGTCCTGGATTGTTTTGTCTTAGGACGCTAGGCTCGAGTCCTGGATTGTTTTGTCTTAGGACGCTAGGCTCGAGTCCTGGATTGTTTTGTCTTAGGACGCTAGGCTCGAGTCCTGGATTGTTTTGTCTTAGGACGCTAGGCTCGAGTCCTGGATTGTTTTGTCTTAGGACGCTAGGCTCGAGTCCTGGATTGTTTTGTCTTAGGACGCTAGGCTCGAGTCCTGGATTGTTTTGTCTTAGGACGCTAGGCTCGAGTTCTGGATTGTTTTGTCTTAGGACGCTAGGCTCGAGTCCTGGATTGTTTTGTCATAGGACGCTAGGCTCGAGTTCTGGATTGTTATGTCTTAGGACGCTAGGCTCGAGTCCTGGATTGTTTTGTCTTAGGACGCTAGGCTCGAGTCCTGGATTGTTTTGTCTTAGGACGCTAGGCTCGAGTCCTGGATTGTTTTGTCTTAGGACGCTAGGCTCGAGTCCTGGATTGTTTTGTCTTAGGACGCTAGGCTCGAGTCCTGGATTGTTTTGTCTTAGGACGCTAGGCTCGAGTCCTGGATTGTTTTGTCTTAGGACGCTAGGCTCGAGTCATGGATTGTTTTGTCGCTAGGTACGAGCCAGGAATAGTTTTGTCCTAGGACGCTAGGCACGAGCCCGGTATTGTTTTGACTTAGGATGCTAGGCATGAGCCTAGAATTGTTTTTTTCTAGGACAATTTAATTGAAATTTAATGATATATTTTTATGAAACTTTGCAAGTTTATTGATCTTACTACTAAATTATTATTATTTTACAAAAAAAAAAAACAAAAACACTTATATTAGTTTCCTTGTATCAGCAAACCAAGGCAATCATTGAACCTAATGCTATTTAAATTTAATTGAAAATCAATTTTAGTCAAATGGAAATTAGCTTAGTCGGCAGGTTTGCTAAGGTGGGAGTATTAATCTTTACAACATTTTTCCTTTTTCCTTTGGATAAAGCAACCCAGCAGATTTATGAAAGTTGTATTTCTGTACTTATCTTATAAATGTTAGTCGGTTCATAGAAACAAGAGCATGAGATACAAGTTAGACGTTAATTATTAATCTTCATAAATCATTAAATAGTATTTGTATATAACAAATAAATGCTTCTTTTTATTTTGGTGAACGCCTACTAATTATGTGAAAAAACATAGATGTGTTGCCAAATACAAGATATCGTTTATTTAATTAAAGCTCCCGTTTCTTACTGTTTGCCTAGCTGTTAAAATAATATATTCAACTACTTAATATGTTCTTGCGACGCAATGTAAATCTGCAAATTTGTTTGGTTTTCAAAAAGTTTGCTACATTTTTTGAAATATGTTATAGTTACTATTGATATAATTATTGAAAGTTTTGTTCATCATAAACGCCATCATATTTACTCTCTGCATAGCCTAGAACTCGTGTCGAAAAGAGTGTTTTGAGGCCCAAGTGATGTATATGATGTAATATCATTTACTCGATACGAGTGGTAAGGTTAGCTTAGGTTTTATTCAATATTGTTTGGTTGCCAGTTATGTAATCTCTGTAGGACCTAGGCCCCGTGCCTACACCCTGCGTCTCGTGCCCTTGTAATCCCACTACAATTGTAGTAATCATCGTGCGTTTTTTACGTGTGTGTAATTTGACTCTATTCAATGGCATCCCCTCCCAACGTTGGCTGGCACCCCGCTGTCGCCATTCACAATCTGTTGCAACTAATGAATCGATTTTAGAATTGCCCCTTCCCCGCATTATGATTTATATTTAACGTTGTAATTTCTCTCTAATATATTACTCACGTGTGTCTGAGTTAAGTTCTAAATAGTAATCGTTGTTTAAAATGTACTGTAGGTAAAATATTAGGAATATCTTTGAAATTTTATAGAGCCGAAAGCATAATTTTATCTTCAAGTCCTAGAAAAGTATAAATGTAATGTGTTTGGCTTTAATTATTTTGATTTAAACTACTACGGATGGTTCATATAGCGTTCTAGGTAACCTAAGCCTTAACTTTTAACTTTATCAGTTGAGCTTTCTAGGTACAGTAAGTTGGTACAAGATGAAATAGCGAGATGACTAAAAGCATAAATCATTGATGACATCCCTTAATCACGACAACGAGCGTGATAAACGCAATGATATTTCCTCACATCGGTAAATAGGACAAAAGGTATTGTTAAATACACCCATATAGGACATCTAATCTGCAATGTACGGGTTAAGTAAATTTAGATATTGAAAAGTGATAGATGAATATTTAATTAGACTTTAATAAATCTCTTAAATAAAAATAGAAAGGTAAGTGACATTGATACAATTAAGAGGGTGTTTAAACATTATGGTGATGATTCAAGATGACATTAAATATTGTGTTGTCAATCATTACTGGCAAATGTTTTAAAGAAATATTGCACTGGCCAAATGTCGACATTTTAGTAATGAGATATTTTATGTAGTTTGGCAGGATAGACATATTTGTAGATTTTTTTCAGAAATGATCAAAATTAACCAGTAAACTACTTCTTAGAATCCAGATTGAAATATATATTTTCTCGTCATTTCTACCACTAACTATAAATAACATTGCAGATTCTTTGTTTTCTGTTGTTTGGCAAAAAACAAAATAGTAAAATTCTTGTAGTGATACTTGATAAACATAAAAAATGAAACTTCGCGTATTAAGACATACATTACAGATGTGTTACAGCTGTAAGCGCAACAAAATAACATAACCAATTAACAGTAACCTCCTACGTACTTTCGACGTACTTCACTATCCTAATGGTTAAGGCTTAAGTTGACACTGCAATGAACAAAATAAAACAACACGCAGGAAAATCACTTCAAGCTGAAATGTACTGAAGTAGCCCTAGTATTGCAAGTTATCTATCCTCGCAAGACAATATTCATAAAAGTACAACGAACGTAATTGTATGATGTTTTAGGTTGACGACCTTTACTAAGCGACACACATGTAAACGATTCATGTAGGTAAACACAAGTTCAAACACAACTGTCCTAATATAGAGCAGGAAATTCTGAAAAATTAGCACTGAAGCTAAAAACTGAGCCTGTTCCCACCGTAAAAATATACCTAATTTATACCATTGTACACAGCGAATTCCTACCTGAATCATGAGTTATAACTACTTTAAGTCAAACATATAAAATTTTAGTCGAGTAATATAACATGTATTATCTATGTTTCAAAAAATCTAACGCATGAAACATGTTTTAGAAACGCTAAAAAAATATTCTATTTGATTGAAAGATATTTTACACAGTTACATTTTAATATAGGCATGTATGAGTTTCTATATAATACGCCAAATATCTTTCATCTTTTATCAATAATACTCGTATCTTATTTTTTTTCGTAGGAGTTTTAGCCAACATAAATTGAATCAGATTAGAATGGAGGTAGCTAATCTAGCTATATATCAAAATATCTATGTTTGACAAAAGCTCTGAGGCTCTTACAAATCTTTTAAGAACGTGGAACATAAAAACACTATTGGCGTAGAAACGCAAATAAAACACAAAAACATATGAATCAAAATGGTATTTTGTGTTTTCTCTAATAAAAACAAATAAATTGTACGATATCTGTATATTTCAGGTGAGGACAACGGTTGGTTAAGGATCGACCTGGACCTACAGATCCTGGTGTGAAGATTTATTGAATGATGACCCTCATAGCTTATCCTGAAAAACGGGAGTGAAAATGGCGGCATGTTGACATCCCCTATATCCACCCCACGGCCCCCAGCCCAATATGGCGGAGTCGCCCCCTCTCACTCTAACTGGGTGTCAGTACTCCCCCTTCCCACAACCACCTTCCTATCCCTTGTTGGTTTTGTGTCCCTAAGTCGATTGCTTTACATTACTCTACTAGTATAGCAAATAATATTAGTAAATGGGAAAAAGCAAAATTTACTGGTGTACAAAAACACTAGCAATCTACAGACTAATTTGGTAGACTTCGAAATGTAAAGTTTTCAAACCCTATCTTTGGTTGGAGATTTATCCCTCAATTTCTTTTATTTACTCTAATAGTATAGCAAATAATATTATTAGACAGATTTTTTTTAACTTTAATAGTGTAATTTATACGTAAAATTTGCAAAATGTGAAATGGTTTGTTAGACACTGCCTTAAACATATCGTGGTCCACAAACGAGAAAAGCTCTAAAGACCACAAAATGAACATATTTTAGTACAGTGATCTTATAAGTATAAGGTGGTTTGAAAATTGTGAAATATGCTTAGGAAACGGCCTAAATTTTTCTGTCACATTATCAGTATTCGACGAGCGCCAGCCACAAACTGCCTTTAAACCAATAACAACATATTTACATACATATATTTACAATATACATACACATATACAATTTACATATACATATTTACAACATATTTTTCATTTACTCAAAATAGATTACTCCATAATTGTAGTTATCATTTTATGAGTAACTGGGTCTCCCCGAAAAGTCTTATAAACGAGACCAGGCCAAGCCAATATTATACCTGTTCTTTAAATATACTTAAATTAAAACTTCGAATCTTAATAATAGCTTATCATTATGTGCAAATCCCATTAAATTGGATGGTGGGGCAAATTACCGACATCTTAAGGATAATATAATTGTTTCATCAGTGGATAGTTTGTGTATGAATCTAAAATACGTGCAGTAGAGGTGGGACTATATACCGAGTATATATGTATTCCTCAGTATAAAATTAATAGAAACCTGGAGAAAGCTTTAAGAAACTAATACTGAAACACTTGAGAGCATTGTTAATCTGCCGAAAAGATTGAGCAATCTGTTTACAATAATCTAACTTTCCAAAAGTGTGTGTTCTCTATTGAATGGTATTCCAAAGATTCTTGAGCTATGTTAAAACTTTAAAAATGCTAGGCAAGGAAACAAAAAGTCACTACTAAAAAGGTAGTCCCTTCATACTAGATACAAAATTAACAACTTAACGAATGGAATATACTTATTAATTACTAGGGAATATAAATATTTTAAAATATATATTATTTATATTACAAATTTGTTATAAAGCTTACTTAATTAAAACTATTATAATGTATTCAACTTATGGTCATGAGTATTGTATTCAAGTTTACTTTACTAATTAAGTAAAAATTTCAATATATAATATTTTCCCTAAATTAATATTTTTTAAGCCACAGTTTTCTTTAATTTTCATAACTCCACAGGATTTGGTTTTTTTAAATTTCTAATAGCAACCCAGCAGACGCATAGGCAGCACTTGCTTATGTCTGCTGATTTTCTTATAACAAATCAATAAGTAATGCAGAAATGTTATTTTATTTTAATCTTAGTTTATGTTTTATGATTGTTTATGTATTTTAAAAGTGTGTATTTTGTTCATTTTTGTTGTTGTTGTTGTTCATGCTGTATAGTATATGAAAAATAAACATATTATTTCATTTCATTTCCTTTTAGTGAATAATTCCTAATAGAAATACTTTATGCATTATACTCTTCATTAAAGAGCTTTTTATCACGGACACGAGTCCTGGATGGATCACTCTCAAGCAATCGGGTGGCAAGGTGGGAGGCCACGTTGACTAACTCTCCCATACCAGCCAGGGAGAAACTGGCTCCTGGTAGAGGCCTTCATTACACGGTGTGTAAGACCCTAAATCGAATTAGGGTCGAGGTACCAAAATGCAAGACAAACATGCAGAAATGGGGTCTCTTACCAGACGAAGAAAACATCTTGAGCGCGTGTGGTGCTGTTCAGGATTCTGGTCATCTGCTGATCTGCCCACGCCTAGACCAGTCTTGCACGTTAGATGATATTTTACATGCGAATGACAAAGCCATATCGGTAGCTATTTTTTGGAAAAAACGAAGTCTGATTTCTGGACACGGAAAGTAAGTATTATATGAGGTCTATAGAATCCAGGTAATAATTGTACATTTACAAACCACTTAATTTAGTTTTACAATGTATATATACACGACACTGTGCTCTCATTAATAAAGAAAATATTTAGAGATTCAATAAAATAATAATTTAAAATGCACTTTTACAAAAAGTCAAAATCCGGTTATTTTCCATAACTGTTACAACAACAAAAATTATGAACTAGAAAAAAGTGAATTGAAGAATCAAAACACGTATAGATATTCTAAAATTATCATGAGAAAACAATCTAGAGAAACAAATCTTAAAAAAATAATATATAAATTAAACATAATACATCCTATAACAACAACAAAAGTATATATGTAGCATAGCTTAACTATAACTTGATGACTGCCAAGACCAAACAAATTACCTAAACTGAGTAAAGAATATAGTTTCCAATACCCTACGTGGTCTTTGACTTAAAAATATTTCAGTGCATATTGGTATAAGACACTCTCCATAGAAAGAAATATTATGAATTAAACTTACTGTCTCAAAATATAATGTATTTACAATTTACCTAAGTAAATTTCACACAAATACCTTAAATGGTTGCGAATTTATATATCCTTTTTATCGTTTTTTTTTCAATTAATTTTCACTCTGTTGTTTTTCTTTTGCTTTTTTGTTCCTTTTAATACAAACATTCCAAGGATTTTTCTAAGCTT